GGTGGTTGAGTCCCCATCCCTGGATGTGTTTAAGAATAGGGTGGATGATCTACTTGAGGATATGGTTTAATGGGGATTAGGGATGGTTGGACTCGATGATCTCTAAGGTCTTTTCCAACCTAGAAATCTATGAATCTATGATATTTATAAATATTACCTCAATAATATAATCCCCTGGAGATACATTCTGAAGAATACAACTTGTAGTATCTGTGTTTTGCTCCTACATCAAAGAAAGAGAACACTTTGCAAGCCATTCGCATACTTTTAAAACCTAATAAAATATACATTCTCATTGATTAAAAAATATACAGTGCCCTCCTGTATCAGGACACCTTAAAACAGCAAAACTAAGTCTCTCCATTCAAATATACAAGGACCACAATCCTCTGACTGCAGAACTAAAATATGACAAATTATAAAAAAAAACCTCTTCAAAGTTTGGTCTAATACATAAACCCTACATTATGCTCCGAAGCTCCCTAGCTTTCAGACCTAAGATGAAGGTTGACCAGAGAGAACAAACTTGCCATTGAGTACTAGCCAAAGCTAAGGACAATAATACAGCAAATTGCAGTTCCTACAAGACTGAGACGCAGCAGTTCAAAACCACAGACTGTGCAACTCCACACATATACTAAATTGTGATACCATCCCAAACGGGTAATATACAAAGTGGTCAAATTTGGTGCAAAGGTAAATAAAAAAGTGATAATTAGTATGTTTAACAAACGTAACAAAACTGCAGTTTGAAGTACTAATTAGCTGTAGGATCTTCAAGAGAGAGAATAGTCTCTTCTCATTTGCTTATGCTATCCAGCTCCAATGGAGCCCTCAAGCCTGGTTTTGATTGATGAGTGCTATCAAAATACAATCATTATTTACTTAAATAGTACCAAACAATTTAAAAATTTTACAACTAATAGTATTCTACATTATATTAAGTTTTTTAAATTTCGATAAAACCTTAGAACATCTAATGGTAATACGTTTTGTGTTTTTAAGAGTTGCAAAACTCGGCGACATACCTGTTTGCAGGTCTTTTGCTTAAATGGCCCTTCATGCTTAAGTTTATAGTGAAGAAAGTAGTATCTAAACCCAAAGTTGTGAGGTGCATGATCGAAGGACACTTGCATGTTAAAACCCTGCTGGGTAACGTTGAGATTCCTTGGCCTCCAGTCTATCAGAGGAGATATTCATGAATTGGAAAAAAGTGACTTTTCAAGCACAGTAACTTTTTGTAAGATGAATATACAGCAAGTATTACATTTTACTTACAAGGTTTGCAGACAAGGTTTTCTGGCTGTAGCAACAATTCACATGCTAGAAAGACACACAAAAGTTATGAATGATACAGTATCAAAATGCTATGCTATTTAACTAGAAAAAGAACAAGGGCAAAAGAAGAGAGTTCATCATTTTGAAGACAATACCCTCATTTCTTTCCCAGTCTCTAATATGACTGGAGTAAACATATTTTGCAAACTTAGCTTCTTAATGATTTCAAGTCCCTTCTCATCTTTACATGAGGAACACAGGTTCATTAACTTGAAAACAGAATTCCTCAGTGAGACAAAAGGGATAGCACCAGGCACAGCACAGCAGGAGAAGCTGAAACTAGCCTTAAATACAGTCACTCAGAGTAAACACACACGCTGGTCACTATTACAAAGACAAATGTTACTGCGGTCTGCATCAACAGACAGACCTTAGTAGGACAAATATCAACACTTCACCTCAAAGGATACTTGCAGTTTTTCTCATCCTACTATTTAAGCACTGAGGAGCTTATTCAAGTTTCTTCTAACTCCAGTGAGAACTGCTAAGCAATTCTGAGAAATTCAGCTTGATCTGTTGCTATCCAATTTTACATGTATTAATCTATATCTATCTCTAGACAATCTGTTTTTGAAACTGTGATCTCAAAAACAAAAACAACCTGAGCTTCTTCACAATGTCCAGAGAAGAGAAGGAGCAGATCATCTTCATGAGTCAACTGTTCCTGAGAACCACGGGAGTAATCCTGCTGTAGGCAAACCTGAGACAATTTCAGGCCTACTTCTGATTGTCACCTGGCACATTATTATCATACATCACAGATTTATCTGTGGTATCCAAATTCTTCCCACTTATCACCCAGATCTCCCCTCAAAGACTATGTCAGTAACTATCTTAACCCAGACTCATCTAACATCATCATGCACTACATTCCTTTGTTGAGAAAACTAAAAAGCCAGGCAGGAGGGAGGCGGGTGGGCACCCACTGGGGAGGAGATGATATGCAATACTACATTGTATGCAATACTTACGTCTAGTTCGGAAGAAAAATGGGTGGTAATTACTTTCATTTTTAATAGAAGGAAAAGGAACAATCTTTACAAAGTAATCTGTTTCAAACTTCAGATTTACAAAGGGCTGGGATTCCATTCCCTAAAAAAGACAAAATTGCAACATACTTTAAAATCAACTACTAAAACTGAAAGTATCTTTCAAAACAAGCCCCTAGTTTTGCAAACATAAGCAGAAATTAACACCTTAAGAATCCTTTATCTACCCCTCCCTTACACATTGACATGAGGCATCTCAGCACAGAGTTGGATGTGGACTACTACAGATGTGCACCTGCACTCCAGAGTCACCCAAATGACAGTTTCCAGCTTCAGGAAAGCTTCTACAGAAGGGGACCAGATCTGCCTCTAGATCAACAGCTATCACTAGTTTTAAGAATAACAACCCGCATCCTAGTAAACAGCACACTGTGTATATTTAGACAGAGATATGTTCAGATTTATACGCAGTATATAAACACTGAAAAGACTACTCCCACAACCAAGCAACAGTGAAACTTTTATTGAAACAAAGCACTTACTGTTCGTTTAAAACTCGGGCTGAGCTGCTTTGGATCTTTTAAAACCATCTGCTGGCATTGTCTTCCCTCTGATTTTAACTCCTCAAGTATTACTCGAAATCCTTTCAGGTATTCCATCCCTGCAAACAGCAGGGCATTTAAATAGAAGACTAACATTTCAAAATGCATAATGTGGTATTTTATGTAATCTGAATATATTTAATTTGTCTTGAAAAATAAAACTCACCATTCATATGAAATATGTTTGTGTTTTAATACTGTTGTGTGTCAGTCCTTCCCGCATTTTCTGTCTTGCCTACTTAGAATTCAATCTTTGGCAAAGGCTGCAACTACTACGTACTTGTGTCATGCTATAGAGCAGAGGGGCCCACATGTCAGCTGGGGCTTCCAAATTATCACTGCAATGTAAGTCATCATTACCTTCAGGAATACTTTATAGTAACTTCCTTTATAAGCAATGAGATATAATTTTTTTTCTAGCAAATTACAGAAATACTCCTTTATTACATCGTCCTACCATTTCTGAGACTACCAGATTAAAGTGATTGCGGTTGTTACAACTCCTTTAGTTCTAGGATAGTATAGGATAATAGAAAACTTGACTTAAATGGAATGGAATTTATTCCACTGCGTGAATGCTTCCAGCTATTTATAACTGATTCCAGAACTACACCCATTTTTTCAAGTTACTCTAACACAACTAACTCTCAGCACAGTTTCTTTCCATTTCTTTGCAATGTTCTCATCATGGAATTACTTCACTCAATGACTAAACTGAGTCACAGTGATGCAGATGCCACATATAATGCCGAGTGCTGCTCTGTGATAGTTCCGTGGCTCAGGTAACAGTCACTGCATAGTTCTTCAAGACCAACTTCCACTACCCCATCTAATTACATCTTTTAACAGCATTACATATGGCAGAATACGTATTTATCAAAGACACAGCCACAGCTTTTGTGAGCTGCTACATAAACCAAAATGGATTCATGTGAGTTTACGCTATGCTTGTCAAATTAAAAAACCATAATCCCAAATGTACCATTTTCCATAGACCTCCTGTTTCACTAGTATTCATGGTTTTGTGATTTTTTTTTCATGTTTTATAATCTTGTAAAAGATACAGACCATGAGTTGCCCAATGCGTTCTTAATATTCCATGGGACAAAAGCATTATTTGTGCTTACATGAAGACCATGAAAGAGAAAGTGTCCAGTCTCCATGCTACCCGAGATGTTTCAACAGCAGTTCTGTCCTCATGCTTCCCAAAGGATTAACCTCTGATCATTACAAGAAAGAACACCAAGCTTTGTTTCCCATAGAGATTTGATTCATCCAGTCTGCAGCTGAAGATTAGCAAATGCTTCCAACTGCACAGTTTAGTAGAATGGTGTAGTTTTTGTATGTTCTTTTAAACCCTAGAAATTCGTAATTATTTTTTATCAAAAGAATTGTGAAAGCATGATTTAATACTAAGAGGCCACCAACAAAATGACAACTTTTCCTATCTAAAATGTTTGATTAATAAACACAAGTCTAGGCTAAAAAATTTGTAACAAGTCTAATAAATACACATTTGCATTATTAGCCATATCTCATTGTTTAGGATGCAATTCTATCACATAAATGAGAACTTACAGCTCTTACTAAATCATAACAAAAATCTGAATAAAAAGCTTTTTGAGGGAGTATGAACCATGAAATAACAAGCTGAGACTCTGCTGCATGAGAAGAAGAACATGAACAAAAATTTGTGTTTTAATTTTAAAAACTGTTTTGTGCTTAACTCCAATTATTTTACTAATATGGAAAAGCACCTTTGCAGTTAAAATTCATTAATGAAACATTAAAAACATTGAAGAAAACTCTACTTCTTTCATTTGCTAAACACTGGTGACTAAAAAAAATGATTTTATATTAAGTTACTCTACTCAGGACCTTTATCAGTGTGAATAAAAAAGAAATGATGAGCAGGTGTTGGTAGAGAGTGCACTGCAGTGCAGTGGTCTCCGAATTTTGACCATGCACTCCCACCAAGAAAAAAATTTTTGAGCACAAACCTCCAGTATATTTATAAAATACACCTATGTACTACTGTGCCAATATGATAGGTATATTATAAAATATACAGAAAAAATAAAAAGCATGAGATAAAGATCAAAACCTTTTTTTTTTATTTTATTAATGATACAAAAACCTTTTCTTGTTCCCACTTAAAAATATTAACAATAATATTTTTGAGTGAGAACTATGTAATTGAATATGCTCCATTATGTTTTAAAATCTTGGTTTAACACTTTGTGATATGGCAATTGGAAGGTCTGGTTCTAGGTTCAGTTTCCTTCGTAACTTGGTGTTAAGTGTCTGTTGTAGCTGAAAAAACAACATCTCAAAGATACATGGATCCAAATGGAAGTGCATCATTGGCTGCATATACTAAATCATTATATTCAAATTTTCACTTCCATCCTCTAATTACGCAAAGGTTTTGCTTGAAATTTGGCTAGTAAATATCCATCTTCCCTGCTGTCAGCTGTTCTTGCAACTACTCAGAATGTGTTGCATTTTTATATTTTTAACAAATGAGTTCAAAACCCCCTGAAACTCTGCATTCCGAAGATTTTTACATCAGCTAGAAAATTCTGTTTCCTGATTTTTTAAGTGGAAAAAATATGACAGTTTTTATAGGTGAGAAGCTGGCACTGTTTTCAGCAACAAAATCAGATAACAAAGGAAACATTTCCAAACAGCCATTTTAAAAAAAAAAAATCTTTCCACAGCATGAGTTTCTTTTGAAAACCAGTTACTTTCTCTCTCATTGTGAAAATGTCACCTTTACCTTGAAGAGGCATATTAAGTGTGGTTTTGGTTATTTGGGTTTTTTTAAATATTACCTAGGTAGTACACTACTGACAGCCACTTGTCATCACAGAAAAGGTCAGAGAATTTGGAACACTTGTCTTTTTGCAAAAGAACACTTAAAGATTTGTTTGACAACTATTTAGCACTTTGCCACAAGATAACCAGCGAACCTCTGAGTGGCACAAAAGATTTTCATAAAGATTTTCATGGTCACTCCCCATCTCATGACAAAGTATTATAAAGATCCTACCATTTAAGTGTTTCATTTTTATAAAACTAACCACACCGATGACATCCTGTACACTTCTGGTTCCAACTTCAGTGCTGCAATAGCTTCCCTATGAATGATGCAATGACTGAATTTCACGTGTGGTGCTCTCTCTGTAACCTTACGCAGGAAACTTTTTTTTCATTCCAGTATTTCCCTGTATTAATTTCAGCCTGGTTTACTGTGGCAGGAAGACCAAGTGTTTCCCCAGTGGTACGTGGCATTTGTCTTTCACTATTGAGTAGGAAATCCCAAAAAAGGTTTCACAGAAAGAGGCTTCTAAAGGTTTATCATTAAGTTCAGTGAAATTTTGTACTTACATTGAGCACTGCATGGCTTCAAACATTGCTGAAAAAATTTTGTCTTCATGTTCTGGATGCTTCGTATTCAAATGTCTTGCTAATCGTGATGGCTTCCCAGTATTAGCTAATATCTCAAGGCACACTATATGCTTAGGGCAAGGTTCATCATTAACAATGGCAGGTCCAAATCTGTATTTCAAATAGTCTTGATACTTTGGGCCAACTTTTTATCAAAGCTGATTAGATAGTCATTGTGTTTATCTTCTGACGTGGCTGATGAAGAGCCTGTACTAGGAGCAGGGGTACTGTCAGCTCTACTGTTTTCTCGTTGTTCGTATGTGCTTGCACTATTAGCATTATCTTCAATTATCTTAAGCCATTTGTCCATCTCATCATGATGGTTAGTTCAGTTAAAACTAGATAATGTGATCAGTAAACTCACTTAACCTGCCACACATACGCTGCAATATGTCACGACATGCAGAAAGCAAATGAAAGAATGAAGGTGCCCCTGTGAACCCCTCCACAGTGTAGAATACACACTCTTCCTTCAGGATACCTCAAATATCACATGGGAAACATGAACAGCAGACAGAGAGAACAAGTAAGGATGCCAGTATCCATCCATATATTAAATATTAGTAAAGCATAGTTTTTCTTTTCAAGATTTAAAAAATATGTAAACAGAAGTTCTGAAATTTTCTTCACATGCCTCAGTGGATCACCTTGCACACACCTCACTTCAGAGACTGCCCCTCTAGTGAGCAACAAGGTACTTCCAGAGACATTTAAGTGATTGAGGAATATTCTTAGTGACCAGATATGACAAGGAAAACCATCAAAGTTTGTACAGCTCTGATTAAATAATGTTTTCCACCTGTAAGACAATCCACATCCTGAAGAATCTTTAAGTGTACTGGCAATTAAACTCAATCAGTGCCACTGAAACGCACTAATGCCTTGGGACAGAGAACAAAATCAGAGTTATTACACAGTTCTGAAGAGCAGGAAAAATGCAACAAGCTGGAATAGTAAAAAGCAGCCTAAGGCTGCAGAGAGCACCCTAGTTTTAAGGGTATTTCAAGCGAGCTAGTAAAAACAGCAGCTTTGCAAAGCTGTTCAGAATTTCTTTCTCCTTAAGCAGTCTGCTTCAATGATTCCAAGCATAATTTAATTATTTTACTTAATATTGATCAGCAAGAAGTTATTACCGAAGACATGAGGAATTCATCCATTTCCCTCCGCTACTTACCAATGGCATTTGCTGTCCAAAGAATAATCACTGCAACCTGTTCATAACATGCATATTGACTGATAGTTATATTCTGCACATCTCCAATCACGTGTTTTCCCACTGAATTCAGATACGGCGTGCAGTCTGAAAACATGGAGAAATAAATGCTTTAGGAGAAATATTCTAGTTGATGTTTTTGTGCCATACCAGAGCAAGTAAATCATAGTCTGCAAACAGCACCTAATCTCAAAGATATATTAAAGCAACTAGTTTTCAAGATGACCTGCATCTTTCCATGTAAATAAAGAATTAAGTTAATTTCCTACCATTTATCCAAGATTGAGCAAACTAAAAGTACATGTGCACTATTTATTCTACAAAAATACGTGCTGTATAGTAAGTCTAGATGAAGTTTTTGTCTCAGGACTCTGAAAACCACAAAACTTTACAAATCACTGAGCACAACCACTTTCGCCAGTTTCAAAACCCTAGTTCACAGGACTCCAAAGGGGATTACCAGCTTATAATAGCCTCTACCACAGTAAGAGTAAAAATGACACATGCTGGGACTCCCAAAGGAGAACAACTTTTCCTCAATAGAATACAAGGACTGATATTAATTTTGAGCATGTGCAATGCTTAGAGCAAGAGAATGTTGGTTAATGATCAGGCACGAATGAGAACAATGAACAATGTGAAGCTTTAGAACTGCTGCTCAAGAAACGCTTTTTAACCATGATAGTGCCTGATCCTGACCACAAAGAACCTACTGCCTAAATCCATCTCATCTGTCATCCATTCAGTAGCTACCATCCCCATAGACCACTTTACTGGCACTGGATCCAGTCAGAACTGGTTTTGTCTTGTTATCCTCACAAAACGCAGTGTATTCCCTAAAGTTACAGCTCCGCAAACATGCCATTATAGAAAACCGCAGCTTTCATTAAGAAAATAAAATGTAAGAAAAGCATTTTTAACCTTGTTATTGAACTTGACCATGTCTTTATGCATTCAAAACACAAAAACAACCCCAAATTTGATTACTTTTAAAGCCTTACAATGCTTAGGCTCATATTTTGTGGCAGGAAGAGAAGTAGTGGCCAGAGAATTCAATAGTTGTGGAGCACAATGAAGACGCACAAATAAACATTCCGCTTTTGAACTAGTGAAGCCAATAAAATCCAGAAAAACTTGACTAGTAGACTACATATACTACTGACTGATGATTAATTCTAAAAAACTGAGATAATCTATACGCTAGCATTTGTCTATACAGACTTTGTAGAAACTAAACATGAAAAATGAAGTGTTATGGTAAGCCAATGCAGGAAATAAAAATTTAATTCAGAGGCGTGATCTTAAAAGCAAGGAAAGAAAAAAATATTAACTGAAAAGCAGTTTTAGAAAATGGCTTTTTACTACGAATAACAATGGTAAGGGGTCTTTTATATAACTGCCACACAAATGAGAACAGAATAGTCTGTACCACACTGCCTTTTACAGGAGCCGGGCAGTTGGTAGTTACTCTGCTGTTTGTAGAATTCTGTTGCTACGAGTGAACTCAATGACAGCACGAACTTCCTCTTCGGAGAACAGACTATCTCTTTCAATGGAAAGTTTGAAGTAACAGTTTTTTGCTAGGTCTGGATCTAATTAATAGCAAGCCCGAGATTTTGGATCCCAGTCACTGAAGTTTTATGGTCAAAAGACAATTTGCCAAAATGGAATATAGCACAAATGTCTGAAGTTTGACTGTGAGTCACTGACTTACATTTTTAAAGAACAACAGATTTAGGAAGAAAACAGCAGGGAAAAATTGCGCTTTTCAGGAAAGCACTTCTATTACTTGAATACAAATGAAATACTAAAACATACAAACACGTTTTTCACCTAAAAACATAAACAATCTAGCCAACTAATTTAACAACATAAAACACAGTTCACTAGAGCTGCTGTGTGGCAAAATAAAAGCCTTTAAATCCCAGTCAGCAAGCCAAATTCTCTTTTGTGCTGGCTTATTCACGATAAGTATTTACTTCCATATTATAAGAACTCTTTAACCCTAGTTAAAGAGAACTCTTTTCCTAGTTCTGCAGAACTCAAATAAGTCCTTTGTCCAGGAAGCACACAGTGCCAGCAGAATTTTGAAGTAACACTTGCCATTGGTTAAACACAGTTCCTGGTGCCAGAATTAATGGAAAAAACATGACAGACACTGAGACTTAAACAGGCTCCATTGTGTTAACTAAACATGGGGATCTCTGTTCCGACTGATATTATTTCCTGTTTTCCTTTACGTAGATAACAAAAAATCGTAACCCTTTTGTAGCAACCACTTACCTCTTGTACAATCTCACATACTTGAATTTTGCTCATTTTAAATATTAACATCAAAGTAGATTTAAAAAAAAAACCTCACAGTGAAGGATTGCAAATTCAGTGAAGGATTGCAAATTCAGAAATCAACATAAAGGAACAAAGGGATGACCAGAATGAAACACTATTGTTAGGTTTCCTGATACATGCTCTCAGGGATGAAATTTTACCCACATTCAGTATCTGAGGTAATTTCTTTGAGTAGGCAAAACCACAAATCTGGGACTTGAACTGGCATTAACACAAACATTACTGCTGTAAATTAGGACCTTCACATTCAATATCAATATGTGCAAAGACACATTTTTAATATATTCTCTGTATATAAACTACACATTTTATACATTGGGACACACTTTGCACCATTATCCCCCAAAATTACATAGCAGAGAAAAGATGTATAAAGCTCGAAATAATCCTTTCCTATGACTTTGTGTGTAGTGAACTTTTCAATGACTACTTCCTTTCACAGATTAAAATCCTTCTCTGTAACCTTCCAGCCAAATACTGGGCATATGTAGGCGAATCCGAAAGTGAAACTACAAATTATTAAATTGCTTTATAATCAGTGAAACACAGTAAGGAGAAGATCCAGCAGAAACAAATCTAGATTTTAAAATTATGGCAATAGTAAAAAGCTCATGATATTCTTAGAGCCATTTTTTAGAGACATGTTGCTACATGTTGACAACTGTGATGGAGTCCTGGCTTTTTGTGAATATAGTATAAATTTTCAACTTACTGTCATATTTAAAGGTGATATTGAGTAGTCCATTGTTCTTGGTGACTGATGACAGCCCCTGTAGAGAAACATCAAGAAAATAATTTGAATAAAGCAAGCTACTTTGAACTTAGGTAGATTTTTCTTTTGTAAATAGCTTGTTGGAGTCTGGAAGAACGCATGATTTTTTTCCTTCTGTTTGGGCACACCATCCACCAATCTGAGCACAGGCAATGACAGAACAAATTGCATACATGTGTATGCACTCACCTGTCATCAACTTTCCAAATATAATACTCAAAGAAGCGAAAATAAAGAGAAATGAAAGTCTGAATATAGTATTTGCATGAAGACATGAAATTGAGACTTAAGTAGTACAACTTGTCCAGTTTAGATGTGACTCATAGAAGCTTATTTTTGAAAGAAAGTTATGTGATGTTCTCAACTTCCACCATCTAGGTTAATTGTGCCCATACAAAAACCATACCTTTAATCAAGGTTTAAATACAAATCAAATTGGGTTCTCCAGGGAAAACACAGTGCAAGAGAGAATGCCATGAAAAAGAGTATCAGCAGTTCAAACAAAGTAAAGAAGGAATGTCACTGCTAAGCATTGTGCTCATAGCACTTTAGCTGTTTTCTTGGTGAAGGTCATTTTCAGGACAGAAATTAAAGGGTAGGAGCAAAACAGCAGAAGAACTAATTAAAGAGCACTCATCACTTCTCAGACACTCCTCATCTCATTAACTACCCCAGTACAGGTGTCTGAAGGACTCTATTATCTGTCAATCGTGCAAACTAACCCACCAAATTTTCATCACACTCAGAATTAATCTATAATCAAGTAATCCTTTTTCATACGGCTAATATTACTCAATGCTCACAAGAACTACACAAAACTCAAAGCTTAACATAAACTGAGGTATGATAAACCAGGACACAAAACCTACGGCCTGGTTCATCAGCGTGTCTGAATTGTACATGGCAGAAACTCTTACTACAGAGAGAATCAATACCCAGTGTCTAGATATGTGCCCACGTCTATCCCTCATTAAATCATTTTATACAGATGTATTTGCATGTAATTTATGTTTCTGTGCCCAATATCTTTCTCGTGGAATTTTTATTTCCATGTGCTTTGAGTTGTATGTGGTTTATGTACTGTGGATTACTTTTCTGTTATATTTTTTTTATGTGAGAGGCCCCCATATAGAGGCTCCAACCATTTTAACATCTATTGTAAACATTTTTAAATAAAATCTTGCTGTGAAGAACTTAATTAGACAAAAACACAGATGGACAATTTAAATTTCAATCTTCCCATTGATTACTGGCTAAAAATCAACACACAGGAGAGCAATAAAGAAGAACAAATGAAATAGTGGATTTCCGACTGGAACAATTCAGATAATTATATCCCATAACTTTTCCAGTAGAAGTGCATATTGTAGAAATCCATTCTGCTACATGAGGAATCTCTTTCTATTATCAAATACTATTAAAGCAGATACTGCCATTCTTGCTGAGTGTCACAGAAACTGAGGACCAACTGGAGAACTTCCCATTGATGTCCCAGGGAGGAATCCAGACACATACGTAGGCTGATGAGTCTGGTGTCTCTTCTGTACTTACAGAAAAGAACTTGGGACTTCAGAGGCGCAATACCTTACCCTTCAGAAAGCACTGACATTGTTTTTGAAACAAAATGTAGTATCACCCTCACCCTTACTAGACACAAAGTTGAAAACTTATGAAGTAGTATCGTTCCCTGAAAGGCAAATAACATCACATTTACCATTATCTTGAAAAAAATACCACCCATTTATATAGAATGGTATCTGGGCTTACTGCTAAAATGGAAAGAGCAGAAGTTAATACTATAAAAGGACTCCAACAGTAATTAAACCTTGTCAGGATCACGTGTAAACATTCACTGTGTGTCACTTAATAGTCAGGCACAGGTATTTAGAAAGAAAAACAAGGTATGAGTCAAGTTACCTCAAAAAAAAAAAAAGTAAAACACTACATAAAGGATGAAAGTAAATCAGATCTTGATAGTATTGTTAGAAGTCAAATTTGTAATCTCACTTTCTTCTTAGGTGGCTTTTCATTTGTTTAACTTTGATTTAGTTTGGCATTAAACAAGCTGTTATACAAAAAGGTTTCCTGAAACAGGAAGGCGTCAATTTTTTTTCAGTCTTAACTCTTCTATTAATACCTGTTCTATTCTGACTCATTTTCTGTTTCTCTTAAACTATGTAAAATCTCATTTAACTTACTACTACAGCAAAACAAAGACATTAATCACACACATTAAAAAAATACAAAAAAGAAACTGTTGACTTTTCATATTTATAAATATAGGCAGATAAACCATCAAATTAATTGTGTTACCTGTCTTCCTTTTGTGTCCTAGAGCTGATGCTTTGAGAAAGACACAGGAATTTTACCAAACCCCACGGAAAATTAGCACAAGTATTTTAATTCATTAGATAGGATCTTTTATATATATTTCTTAAATACAGGATATAGCAACACTTTTCATGGCATCTTTAACTGCATTTCCATTGAGATTACGGTGACATCACAAAACATGTAACAGTAGAAGTATAAATCAATATACCACAGTCATTAATGAAGTAGATGCAAAAAGTAAATATAACCATAAGCCAAATTCTGCTGAATGTAAGCAGCACATGAGGCTTACCAGTTGTAAAAATTTGCTCCCAAGTGTATAAAAGGTCCAAAAAGGCTGCAGTAATTTGTGAGAGAATTAGGGTCACGTTAAAGTGTTGAACTAGACAACTGTCATATTAACTGCAAGTTAAAACAAGTAAGCTAGTCAGACAATTTCATCATGCTAAACTTTGGGATTAATGCTCCAAATACTTACTGCTGCGAATTTAAAAATATATTCTTCCAGGAAGTATTCCCTTGTTTTTAAGCCAGAAATTAATTGAGCTATTTAAATGGCTTATAGCTAAGACAACATGTTTAGAGCATCTTACTTCAAAACTATAAATACTAATGCAATGGCCTTAGGGCTCTACATTCTTAGTTAATTAACCACTAACATTTGTTGAATTTACATGCAGCTTTTAATTTATTCTGAACTTTACTAGAAAGCAAGTCTCCATTGCCTGGAGCTTTGTCTACAAAATCCCTTTGGTCCACATACTTCTACACTGATTAAGAAGGAATACACAGGAAAGACAAGAGTCAAAACATCATTTATAAAGAACTATAGACCACTGATCTTTAGACAGATAATCAAAGTTGAAATGCACACAGATTAAATTACAATCAATCTTGTTTGTCAAAAAGCAGCGGTGGGAGGGTGTTATCCACAACAATAAATCTCACATTATACAAGCTCAAAGCTCAGAGCTCCACAGAAAACACGATGTTTTCGGCATCTATATTGGGCAAGTCAGCCAGAATTTCCATCACATATCACATACCTCAAATCACAGAGATCAGTGTTGGATCTGTTCCTCAATCCACATGAACAGCTTGAAGAGTAAAGGTTAAGATCCTAAGATATCTTAAATCTCAGTAACACTAATAAACATCAACTCCTAAATAACTAATAACTCATTTGGATGTTCAAGGCATGTGCAGGCATTCCATTTTATTTAAATATCCATCTTTCAACATCAAAAAGCACAAGTAGTAGTAAGAGGCAAAGACTATTACATTAAGTTAAACTGCATTTTTGTTTGTTTATATTTTCCTAATACCTATCCCTTCATTTATGATAACAACTTACTAATGAAATGCACTTTCAACAACTCTTTCTACCCATTACTAGGCCACAGAGGAACAAAGTCAGGATTACACTGCCAGAAATAAAGCTTCAATGAAATTGTAACCACAGGAACTAATTGTGCCTCCAAGAAAAGTTAAATTTAACTCATGTCTGCCATTAGAGGCATAAATTAAATGCAACAGAAAAAAATAAACTATCTGCTTCATTTTTATTGTTGAACTCTTCCCTCTTCCTTTTAATCTAGAGTATACAGTGTTTCATATTTGAAGGTAACATCTGTTTTTTATATTGGACAATTCCTGCCAGAGATGGCACTGGTGATTTCGGAATTGTTCTATGAATAATCATTTTTACAAATAATACTGAAATATACTCCAATATTTGACTTTTACTGAGCAAGTGGTCTTTCATTCAATAAAGGCAATTTATGTATGTGAATAAGCACTGTCAGGCGGCCACTTTAACATCAATACTAGGAAAGAGATAGATGCTAGCACTAATTACAGAGATCTGCTAAAGGAGGGAGGAAATCACTACCCCTCAAGCATAGCCTTGCGCACCAGACCAAAACAGTAATCATGATTCATCTTTCATATGTTGTTAATCAACACACACATGGTCCTAATTTCATGCTCCCATGAGGCAAACTGAAGGGACAATTGTTTCTGAACTCTAACATCAAGATGAATAATCAATGTTTATCACACTCGTTACTCAGTAAACTAAAAGCTTTAGATTTGACATCTGCTCTTTTCATTTTAAAGCTTTCTTGATGCTTTCAACCAAGTTAAAATATTTTCTATCTCTGCAGTCATCAGTAAAAAGATGAACTATCTGCAGTATTTATATGCCTGCATTTTGGATTGCTTCCAATAGAATATAGCAAAATACATAACCCATGCTAGTGTTTGCTATATAACTCACGTGTACTCCATTGACTGCGGAATGAATACTAAACCCTGAGTGGATGGGTTTGTACTGTTATTACTATATCCCAGGTGTAAGTGACAATTCCAACCATAAATTTTGTTCGGATTTGCCTATATACATATACATATATGTTCCTGCATTGCATTCACAAATTATGGGAAGAACATTTAAAAAAACATCTCAGTGACACTGGAGAAGTAAGTTTTAACAAAAGTGAATTCAAGGAGCAACAGGCTTCTTGTTGCCTATCTCATATTTGAAATGGAGATGTAGATTCTTCAAAACAATTTTTTTTAAACTTCTTTTAATAAGTTGGCATCTTTTGTGTTTCTTTTTACGTAAGTAACATAATGATTTACAAGAAATTATCAGAC